AAAAAACTTTTGAAAATTCAATAATAACGTTTTACTAATGATTAATAGTTAATTTTTTTTTTTTTTAATTACTGAGTATTAAATCCATATTAAATAGAAGGTAATTAATTAATTACATTTATTAAAATTGTATTATAAAAATGTTCTACAGTAACCATACAAAAAGCCATAATCGAAGTTTTTTGAATTTATACTAAATTTAATATTGTTGGTAAACGATAAGTTATTAATTTACTAAGACAAATATTATATATAATTGAATATTTGTCTCCCTAAGTATCTAAAATAGTGTTCAAATACAAGAGTATAAAAATATATTTATTCGAATACTTCACTTAACCAGGTATCACTTATATCTTTGTATTATTCTTATTAATAAGTTTCTATTTTACTTCTACCGGCCAGCGTGACTCTTAAGTGCTGTCAGTCTGTCAGTCATTATACTTTCAAAACAATTTTTTTTTTCGTATTTAATCATTTAAACGTATTGATATATTTTTTAATAATAATTTAGTACCATAAGTAATCCTATAGTACAAGACATGAAAACTGCTTGCTTTACATTATATTAATGGTATAATATCAATAATAATAACTGAGGCGTAACATAATATATGTATATATATAAAACAGAAATTAATATACTTATCGATGTATTAATTACAATATTATTTAGCACGATGACGATTTAATCGTATTAGTCCATCCACATTAACTCTGCAAATTTATCGTACCTACTACTCTATAGTAGCAACTTACTCGAAATATGGATTATAATTTACAGTAATTACTTACACTTAAGAGATGCGTTGAGTTATATAAGCCGACCGGATTATTTTGCTGTGTCAGTGCGCACATCAAACTAACAAAAAAAAAACACGTTTTGATTGATATCTCTACAGACGAACATTTTCGAACGGATTTGGTAAATGGTGACGATAAAATAAATAATTACAACTGACACTCGTCGAGCGTTATTATAATAGTCGCGCATGTATACTACATTATACCACCGCGGTGTACAAAATAATAAAACTTGTTAAATAAATGAAAAAAAAACCGTGGCTGATGTGCAGAAGCAGTGTGATGTTTAGAAGACAGTTTTGATTAATTGAGTACCGTTCACAATATAGATAATTCCGACGTGACGGTGTAGTTTTAAAATCTTTGAAATGGATGGTTTTTCTTTGCTGAAAAATAAATTTACAATACCACTATGACCTTAAAAAAAACAACCAAAAATGTAATAAATCAATTGCTATCTTTGTATTTTGGTAATTCAAAGTTAAAAAAAAAAAAAAAAAAAAAAAAAAAAAAACAGCAGTTAATGGATCTGCGTTTACATGCAAGATGACAATGGCATAATTACCATACATAAGATAGTAATAATATATCTTGTCGTCGCACCAATGATTGTACTCATCTTCTCGGATTGTAATTGTTTAATCAGTGTCAAATTAGCCCCCCCCACCTATTTTTTTGTTAACTTAACAAGGAAATAATAAGTTCTCAAGCTCAATTTTTAAGTAATTATTGGTTGAATCCACTTCATACTACCTAACCCACGTTTTTTCCAAATTACACTAGAAATATTGCAGTTGTAGTATTTACTTCATAAGTGGTATTAAGTTGGTTGTCCTATGAAGTTAGCCCTCATTCCAGTGAGTTTTGGCCATAGCTTTGAATCGATAAAATTCCAAAAATAAACAATTAATGATAAATTTCTAATGTTTTATATTAAAATTTATAAAAACGATTAAATAAATTCCATTTGTTGTAAGTGACGTTTGACTGATAATTATTCTACTTAAGTCGAAAAAAATATTGCTTAATAATCTGCAAACGATATAACATTTTAATATACTACTTAGAGATATAGCTTTTGTTAGCGAACATGAAGGTAAAGATCTGAAAAAAGGAATAGAATTTTCAATAACGTATCTATATTATGCCTTGAATATTTTTTACGTTCAACTTAATTGTCCAAATAATAATCAAAAAACAAAAATCCAATACTAAAAAGTATTATAAATTTATATTAACAATTATCGGTGATTATCATCCCTCGGTGAGGTATGAATAATAGTCCCGTTTTTTATTTTTTTATTACAATTACTCGTTTGGGTAAAGCATCATAAAATAATCTACAAAAAGATATTCATATTAAATTTTTTAAATATTTAAATAGGTAGGTATGACATAGAGCAAACAGAAATAATACACGATGAAATAGTGACAACAAAAAATGTATAGCCAACAAACTCCAGCACTCATGAATCGTGTTGCAATATTTTAACCGACAATATAGCTAATTTTCCGAAATAACCATACATTTTAAGTGTAATAATACAAAATTAATCATAATATACTAATCGTATTATATAAATCTTACAGAAAAACATAAACTCATTGCAACCGCCAACCTGTCCCACCACTGTAGACTGTACATAAAGTAACTTTACCAATGATTTTTGTATGCAATTTAAAACGCTCCTAATAACAAATATACACCTTTGCGTTGGGTATATTATTTTTTGTATTATTTATGCACATTTATAATATTTTGTATTTTTTACGAACAAACATAATAATATTAAATTACATGTAAATTATATTATTATGTTATCAGTTCTTTATTTTTTAGAACAAAATATATTACAAAACATTATTTTTGGGTACCTGCCCAGTTGGGTTTTTTTACCAAATAAAACAAAATTATTATATTATACTAAACAAACATGTAAATAAACACAAGCTACACTCACACGCAAGCATAAAGAAGTCTTATTACTGTGAAAATACTAGAAAGTGATTGATTTTTACAAGTCGTAGAAAAACAAAGTTACATTTAAATTAAATTAAAGTTGTAACGATAAAAAAGTACCCGAACAAAGCAATATTTTTATGAAGCTCTTACTTTCTACTATTTTCAATTTTATAATAATAATATTATTTTTTTCCTGATGGACAAGTTAACACGAATAACAACATTATTAAATATTTCATTACATATTATTACACACAATACTATACCCTACACGGTATTGTTTTTTTTTTTTGCAATTTCAAAACGTTTCATATACATTCATATATATAAATATATATATAAAATTTCATTGTTTTTTCTCAGTGCAATTAATATAAAAATACGATACAAACTTAATTTATCATATCTCAATAATATTATATATAAGATGTTGCAATTAGTGTAAAAACCGTCGTTAAAATATAATTATTATCAAAATTATTAACACCATAAATTATTACTTAAATGGATATACAGACAAGTTAAGACCAAAAAATAAAATAATGTTTGACTTTTTTTATTGACTAGAAAAAACAATATTTTTTGTCAATACTTTTCACACAAATCAAATTGTATTTATCGTATAAATAATAAATATATTCAGAACCTAGCTATTAAAAATAAAACGATATAATATGATTACATATTTGAAATATATAATATACTATATAGCCATAAAACTCATATTTTTCTAAATATTTTTTGAAAACGTAGATTATTGTGTTCAAATATATTTATTTTTCATATAATTTTAACATTTAATATTCACTAAAAAACTTATCACCAAGTACACCAATCTTGAATTTTTAATTTTCGTAAGAAGAAGCTGTATTTTATACAAATAAATAATGAAAAAACATTGTCAAATTATCTATTGAAAGTCTTAGTTCATAATCATTACATTTTTAAAGCGCCTTTCCTTCATTTTACAGAAAACATGATAATACAATAATTTAAATTTGAAGCAGCCACGTTTAAATTTGTGACACTTTTGCAATTATTAAGACATTTATATAAAACCTTATTAACGTTTCAATTCAGTTTTATGACGAAAATCACCATAAATCAATATACTGGAGAATAGAGGTATAATGAAGTATAAAAAATGATTTAAAAAAAGTAAATACCTGAACATTTAAATTATTTATAAAACAATTAGTATTCAATTAAACACATAGAATATATACGTAATAATTTTAAACACATTTTCTAAAAATTATTCATTTTGAGTTCTGTCTAAGAACGCTATTACTTTAGTCACACTATACGAAAACGTATTTTTAATTTACAATATTAGACTATAATACATGTTTATATGTATATTATACATATTACATATTACATACTGTAAATAAAGCTTTAAATAAAGAAATAAACAAACTAGTTAAATGTCGGAAAAGTTATGGTTTATTTATGATTTCAATAAGTTCATAATAGTAAAATTATTGTTATATTTTCATATTGTTTAGACTATGGCATTTGAATTTGAGATCAATCGATTACATTAATTAACAATTCTGAAACAAAATAAATAACAAGTCAATATTTAAAATATTATCATTATGTGACAGTGACATATTGTATAAAATAATTAATGTGTTTTTTAGTTATTGCAATGTAATAATAACATAATGTGGAATCTTAGTGATTATTTTAGTTAAAATTACAATAATATTTATAATGAAATCTTGTTCTTTGTTGGTTTATTCTATTGATATAATGATCTTTAGTCCTCAACTCTTGGTTTATTGCCATGATTAATAGTTTATAAGTAAATAAAATATAAAATTGTGTTGCTAATTTAATAAGTGAGTCATAATAAGAAAATTTTAAATTTAAAATCTATGAATGATAATTAGGTTCAACAAATAGGTTATTGCATATAGTTTCTACATAAGAATAACCGGGCAAGTGCGAGTTGGACTCGCGCACCGAGGGTTCCGTACAAACCTGTAGGTATATAAGTAAAAGTTTTTTTTATTTTTATTGCAAAATGAAATTTATAACATAAAAATATGGAAAGCTGGAGGATCATAAATTAATGACAAAGGTATCTTTATCGTTCCAGTAATCCTTCATTTTATATTAACATCTATCATTTATTTTATAATATAACAAGGGCAAGCTTTTTTATCAAAGTTATTTATTTACAGTTTTTTAGTCACTATTTAGAAATCTGGTACAAAAATGTTAATTAAGAATTAAATTTGAACCAGATTTGTAAATGGTGACTGAAAAAGGTATGATTAGTACCACATTGAACATTGAAGTTCGAAAAAACGTTATCTATAGTTGTACTACTTCGTGTAGTGCTAGTGTTTATTAACGGAAACATGTTTAGGGATGAAAAAAATGTGGAAATTCCATTTTGGGGATTCATTCTAAAATCGATATTGAAGTCTCCCACAGCAATCAGACGAGAACATGATGTATACCTATTGAGGTTGTTGTCGTATATTGCTGTATTTATGCATTCTATTGCAACATTAATTGGACATTGTGGTGACCTATATACATTTATCACTCTGACATTAAACATTTCAAAATGCAAGCATTCACAATGGCCGTTTGCAGCGCCTGGGTTATTTAAATAATATTTTTTACATGATCCATCTGTCACGGCATCTTTGAGACTGCGACGTACATACGCGATAGATCCCCAACCTGGATTTGCATTAGATATAGCTGGACCATCGACTCTGCACACCTCATAAAATCCATCAAGTTCGAAAGTATCTCTACAGCACCCCCAAGTTTCAACAAACAATGCTGCATGGGAGGAATGGATAATAGGATCTATGATGACGTCCGACAAATGTTTGCGCAATGATTGCACGTTATGAAAAATAATTTGAACTACATTATCTTCAGGAGTTTGCAAAAATTTGAAATATGGTACCAATTTGTTTTGCTCTAGTCTTTTCATTTCTATACTTACAGCACTCGATTCTAATACTTCAGCGGGAGGTTCAAATATACCCGAATTCACGACTAAAAACAGTCCAGACGATGATGTTGCTCTAGAACAAGCTACATACAACATTGATCTTTTAACATTTTTAGAAATATGAACCACAACTTTTTCTAAGGTTGCACCTTGCGACTTGTGAGTTGTAATACCTTCTGCTGGTACTATTGGAAACTGAGTACGTTGCACTACAAGATTTGAAGATTTCCACCGTTTCACAGTATAAGTGACAGCATCTAATGGCGTCCAATACGAATTGAGATATTGACGATGTTTCCAAGAAGTTACTTGACATTTACTTCTTGTAGCTATTCCTGTACTTTTATCGAACAGAACCCAAATACGTAAAGGCCGCTTTTCACTTGTTTTCTTGTGTCGACCATAATCTATAGCCTTTAATATTCCGGTAGTGCCATTCACAAGGCCATCCGTAGTGTCCATATTCACAGTTACCATATAACGTGCACCTACTCGTAAAAACAAGTTCTTAGGAAGACCATACGTTTGCATTGTAGCTAGAGCCTTTACAGATTGCAAGGCTTTTTTAGCAGCTTGTGGATTTGGTGCTCCAGAAACCACATCAAGTGCTTTAACCGAGCACCCTTCAGTGTTCATTCGAGATAATACTTGATTATTGTATTTGTCGACTTCATTGTTGGTTGCAAATAAATGTATCGCTCCATGTACCTCAATAGGTAAAGTATTAATACTGTAACATCTAGAATTTATTAACTCTATATCCATAGGAGTCATCCGACCGACAGCCATATTGTTTAAGGCTACTGCGAATGCCAGATCATCTCTTTGCCGCATTATTTTAGTCATCATAAAGAGACGGAATGGTTCCCACAACGGAGCGCCAGCGAGGGGTGCCAATGGATTTCGACTACTGTTTGGCTGAAATACCCAATTGTCCCCTACCGGAGGTAACTGATTGAAATCTCCGACGCTTATAATAGATATACCCGCAAATGGCGCATCTGTGTGAAATACTTGCTGCAATCTCCTATTAATTTGGTTCAGAGTTCTACTCCCCAGCATAGATATTTCATCCAAAATAATTAATCTTACTTTTGCAAGTTTACATGCTAAGGTGTTTGCGGTGCTTGCTGATAATTCAGGCATTGTTTGGCCACACTGGGATACTGGAAGTCCAAACGTACTGTGTACAGTTTGACCACCGATTCCAAAAGCAGCTTTTCCCGTATATGCACAAAGTAAAATTCTAGCATCATCAGGATTTATACCCGGAACTCTATTGAACATAAACATTAAATATTGATACAAACCCTTAATTAACAAACTTTTCCCTACGCCAGCGCCACCACTAACAAAATAATAAAAAGGTGCTGGTGATTCTTGAGTGAAAATATGTCCTACATGTAATACAAAATGTCTTTGATCACAATTAAATATCCTAACTAAACTCAATATATCATCTTCACACAATACTGCTGGTTGGGCAATTGTTTTTCCAACTAAATTCGATTGATTTCCATGTAACTGTAGACAATGATCTGGATCACCTTCTTGTGTTTCAAATTCATAATCATCTAAAGGACGAGCTTTTTCTTTTACTATACTATCCTCATCCTCTTCATCTTTACCTACATTACGAATCGCATCCAATAATGCCTCGAATTCATCTGGTCCTCCCAACTGATTAAATTGAAGACTTTCTGAACGGATTTCATCACTAAGTTCAATAAATTTCTGTTCGAGATTTATTTCATCGACCAATTCAGTAATTTCATCCCTCCAGTTTATGTATAACATTAGCTGTTCCCTGTAGAAATTGTCAGGATCTTGAACTCTATTATATCTTCGGAAACGTATGATCCTGGCTTTTCTTCTTTTTCGTACATATCCATCACTATTTAACAGCTCAATCCAATTTCCTATACCTTCATGGTCAGTGTTTTCATCTTCATGTGTACACAAAATTTTAGTTGAAAAAGTATAATATGCGGCAAAATAAGCTAAACTCATTGTATCAAACGTTAGATCATGTGGCCGATTTTTATAATGATCCAGTAAATTGTTTTTGAATATGTCTGTGGACGATGGATCCAAGGACTGCAAATCTATTAAAGATTTCAAAATACCCACTCGTTCATTGGGGTGTCCTGTGTTTATGTAAACATCGCTCTCAGAGGCTTGTGACAGAGGAAGTCCCGCCAGACAGTAAATTGTCTCTTGGGCTGAAATTTCTGAAGAATTCAGAAATACTTTTGATATAGCGCGTAGAGAGTCTCTTATGCTACTATTGCCAGTTTTGGCCTCTTCCACCGCCCCTCTTAGTAAATTTGACATGCCTCGATCAGCTTTGTTAATATAATCGACAATATAAACGGAACAGGCAAATGGATCAAGTATAAATTGGCAATCCATATTAGCTCGTTGTAATTCCAATACTTTTTTGCAAAATGGATTGACCATGACGTCTTTAGGGCGTCTCTTTAGATATATTTTGGGTCGTTTAAGTGTTGATCTAACTGCGCATAGGTATTTTTCGATATTTAATTTTGTCGATGCTATGTACTCATCAAATGTTAAATGTGATGGAATATTAACCAAGTCGTCCTTTAATTTTTTAGATACTTCTTTCAATTCTTTTAATCTTGGATTATCTTCTTCCAGAGGCGTCAAAAGACGTGTCTTATCCATTGGAAAAAAAGGTATTCCAAACCTACAAGGACGACTAGGCTTGGAATGACATGAATGTGTGTGTTTGTGAGTTTGTATCATAACTAAGTATTCATCTAATTCTTCACTATTGCAGGATATGATTTGGTCAACAAACGTTATAACCTTTTCAGTTGATGATTGATCTCCAGGAACAAAGATAGGCGCATCTTCTATCCACAACATCATATGGGCATGAGGAGAACCTCTGTTTTGGAATTCTATTCGATGGTACTGATAGTTGATTTTACGTTCACCAAAAGGCCCAACGAGAGACAGCCATGTTCTTTTTAATTCTTTAAAACGTGTTTCGAAAAAAGTAGCGCATATAAATGGGTCGGACTGAATGAGTCGCACCTTTTCTGCGTATGGAATATTTTGTGCTTCCCCAAGAGACACTTTCTCTTTATCAACTGTGATTTTAAGCTGTTTGATTAAATGAGGCCATTGCGTTTCAGCTGCGGATATCGTCATAAACAATGTAGGGACACCGAACTGCCTAATTATTGCTAACAATTTTTTCTTTTCTTTTTCCCAGTGTGCTGGGGAATTTCTCACACTACTAAGAATTCTAAATCCATCATCATGCTGAATGAGGTTTTGTAAGTAGTCGTCATTAAGAAGATTGTTTACAAAAATAGGAGCGCCGTTGACGGTCTTCTTTCGAAGACAAATAGCTATCTGTCCACCTATTTGGGCCATCTGTTGTTTCTTTAATAAAGTAAACAAATAATCAGGCCGCATAGCCCTTCTATCATGCCGACTTATTTCAGATTTCATTATATCAGAGGAACTCAATTTTATTTTAAACTGCCGTTTAATTCCACCATGAATCTTAATGAAAGCTAATTCTTCAAGAAAATCGTCATACAGTAGTGATAGTGGGTACTTACCCTCACCGGGTGCCATTGTAATGACGACATCCTGCTCATTATCAAGTAAAGTTTCAGCATTACCGGGATTTACTGGTTCATCTATTAATTCTTCAAGTTCACATGTGCATTCATTGTTATCTGTACGATCATCATCATAATCAACTTCGTCGTCATATTCCCAGTTATCATCATATGTAATTTTCAATTCTTTAAATAAGTCTGTCTGGACTAAATATTTTGCTGCTTCTCTCACTATTGCAGGACGAATACGCTCTTGACGACCGTGTTTGTAGCACATTTTTCGTTTCAAAACAAGTGTTATTATTTGACTATCAGACACATGCCTTGGTAACGCTGAGACCATAGTGTTAACATCGACTGGAACGTTCACTACATTCCCTACCAATCCATGTTGGAAACCGAGACCTTGACCTCGCCTAACTATTTTAAGGAATATATGTCGTGGTGATACAATGCGTTCCTCAAGTGGAGTAAGACGTTGCAGAACATCTGGAATTACAGGATAAGTTAAACCATTATACATGGCAAGCCGTGGTATTTTGCCATCTTTTAGATATTTTTGACACGTATAACAAAATGAACCGTAGTCACCAGATGTATTGATTAGAAATAAATCATTTAGGTTTTGATCTGAAAATGTCTTATGCAACTGATCTTTTCTCATGATTCTAAGCGAATTTTTGTGCCACAAACGACCGCAACAGGAACAGATATTCGTGTGACCATCTGTAATATTATCAAAAAATTTTTGACGTACGGCCATCCAATCACGTACATGAGTATTTTTCCTAAAATTACACGTCTCTTTCTCACGTTCAACGTAATCTGATTCCTGCCTATTTAATTGATGTTCAATTGTATTACGAGTTTGCTCTTTATCCCTGTATACAGGGTCCTCTCGTAACACACGATGAGCAGCCGTGTTATGAGCTTGCTCGTTTTCTCTGTATACAGGGTCCTCTCGTAACACACGATGAGCAGCCGTGTTACGAGCTTGCTCGTTTTCCCTGTATACAGGGTCCTTTCGTAACACACGATGAGCAGCTGAGTTACGAATACGTACATTGTCACGTTTCCTTTTTAATTCTTGTGACCTTTGTAATCTCTTTGACAGTCTGTTTCTTATTCTCTCCTTAATTGTAACGTCTTCTTTGTTTCTCCATACACGTTTTTTCTCTTTATTATATTTTTTAAGGTCTTCTGACGATTTTCGATTCCGAGGAACAGAAAGAATTTTTTGAGTAAGTGTATCACCAGACTCAGGAGCTAGTGAAGACGCAGCGTGTTTAGGAGTATACGAATACGATATGGATTGTGGCGTGGGTGACTCAGATGTATATGCCATGGAGTACACTGAAGTAGCAGGGATTGCGAGTTCGTTATTGACTTGAAGATGTTGACCTTGAAATTCCTCGAGGTCCGTCGCAATAATATAATCCACTATAGCTGACCTATTAATTTTAGGATGAGTTTGCTTGTATTTCTGTTTAGCTTCAAGTACTTGTTCTGAGCGGGACTTTTCAGACTTTTTAGGACGACCACCTTTATTACGTTTTGGACGACCAACCTTTGCATTCTGTGTTTTTTTTACCAAGTTTGCCTTCATATTATCGTATGTATTATTAGGTAATTCTTCGGACCCTATTGGCGAACAAAAATCATAATGACCGGATGATAAATTGCCTGAAAGAAGTAAACGCTTTATTGCATATCCTTCTCTGCCAAATACACCCCTCAGAATACCCGTATTACGTTCATAAACTTCGAACCTCACTGGATACAAAACTCCTGCTGCCTTTACCTCAGCAGTACCGCCATAACTAAAGGATTGAAGCATCGTATCTTTGTACTCATGTCGTGAAGAGAACGGATCTCCCTGGGCATCGCTTGTATACAAATTAAACTCGTCCCAGTTATTATAAATATAATTAACTATTGTAGATCTAAGTAATTGTGTTTGTTCATTATTAATGGTATTGTATATAGAGTACGCTATTGCATGAAATAAACAACTTCCATCGGGAGGCATAGATATTATATTATGTAAAATAATATTTTCGTTGACAATTAACGCAACTATAGCCATAATAATTATGGCTATATTATGGCTATATAATAATAATAATATATAATATAATATATATATATTAATAATATAGTAGTATAATAATAATATAATAATATAATTATTATATTTTTGTAAAGTTTTGGAGTTTTATTTATTTCGGTAAACGTGCGAACAGCATCTGGGCGCTCGTGCGAATGACGCACGGCTGTTGCTCGCTCCACGGCCATACCGTAGCCGCCTAAATTTCCCCTTCCGTGTCACCGCCGCCGACACCGCGCACCGTTGCCGACACCGTGCACCGCCGCGCCGCCGACCAGACCGAAAATAAACCGAACGACGAGCAGATATTATATAGATATGTCTCGGATACTCAAAACCTTATCAGTAACACATTATATTATTAATTTCGATTTTAAAATAACACGGTCGCATGTGTCATTTATGATTCTATTATAACGCTTGCCGCAATAATCGACGACGCACACAGGCTTTCCCAAGTTAAATAATTATATATAGTAAATAAATACGTAAACTTATTAGTCAAGTGTTTTATTTATTATTGTAGTATTCGGCACATGCTGTAAAGTTGTGATATGTCTTAAACGTTTACGCATACACAAGGTATTTTACTTATTATTTTTGAATAATATAAGCGTCTTCGTATACGTACACATTCAAAGTTTATGTACGGTTTTTTATAAGTATCGAAGTGTATTGAAATAAAATGAAGTCGTAAAATATACTACGCATTTACGCATACACAAGGACAAGGTGTTTTACTTATTATTACTTATTATTTACTTATTATTATAGGTATAGGCTGGCTAAATAGAATTGGAAGTATCCTTGGATACGATTTCACGGCTGTATTTTTTCAATAAACATCAAATATCGTTTACAGAGAAGGTTTTAATTCCCTCGCAAGTAGTCGCGAGTTTGAAAATATGCGGCTTAAATTGTTATTATTTCTTTCGATTGCGTTGACATAAAAGTTTGATTTTGTTACAGTTTAAAGGTATTATAGACTTAAGTATTTAGTATGAATTTTAATTTAATACCTCATCGCGTTCATGAGATAAGGAGTAGTAACTTTGAAATTTTCAAAATTGTCAAAAATATTTTTCAAAAATATTTTTTTTTTATTTGATGAAACTAAAAATTTACGGTTTTCGTAATTTTTCCCATATCTGTACTATAAGACGTGACTTCGTACGAAACTTCAAGATTCTAAGTTCACAGGAAGTACCCTGTAGGTTTTGATTCCCGTGCGAGTTTCGAAAATTTGCGGAAATTTGCGGCCTAAATGGCTGTATCTTTTGATTGCGTTGGCTTAGAAGGTTGATTTTTCTACAGCTTCCAGGGACAGTAGACCTGAGTATCATATACAAATTTCAGTTTGATACCTCCACGCGTTCCTGAGAAAAACGCTCTTGACAGACGGACGGACGGACGGACAACAAAGTGATGTTATAAGGGTTCCGTTTTTTTCTTTTGAAGTACGGAACCCTAAAAATGTATTCCATATTGTCACGTACCAATAAGTGAATGAAGCACTTTTATACCACCTGTGTACCTTACGAGGGTACAAGAATATTAACTGATCATCTGATCAGCTATGATCACACACTCATAACCATGTATTTCAAGATTTCAATCAACTAAATCTTCTTGACTCATATTTATTTGTTGATAAAATAATGGTTGGTTTATGATTAGTGGTAATGCATACTACATCTCGTTTATCCTTCCATTTCGAAACGTAAACCAATCATCTTCGTTTCCATACATTCACCTCTTTTAAGCTTTATTTACTACTTCCTTCGGATTTATTATTTTAACGTACCTGTTACGTGAGTTTGTTTGTTTGTCAATAATCATAGTCGTACGTGTGCCGTTGTAATAGTTAAAGACTGTATATTCAGTTATCACTTAACCAGGTTGGAGACCCGAAGTTTTAGTTGTACATTATTTTGTTATATACATGATAAATCTTGCAGCGGGAGTTTAACTGCGTCAATCTGACATACAGACGATATAGGGAACGCCTCTATATTACCATGGTCCAGATTCACAGGCGTTTATAATGTCTGTGGCGTGTTTCCTACCGTAAAGGCGTTGGGGAAAGAGGTTGTAGTAATTACTGCTACTATAGCCAGCTGCGCTAGCAATACGTAACCGAACGGAAGTACCAG